TTACGTACCCCCATTCACACACACACACACACACACACACACACCCAAAAGCCGCGATCCAATGTAAATATATGCAATGTACATAGCGCCATATATCGACTCGTTATCGTAGACGTCGGTTTTTCTGTGTTTTTGTTGCTTTTTTTGCCCATTACTATGGCCATATAGTGTTGTCATTGTTGTTGTTGTTGTTGTTGTTGTTGTAGTTGTAGTTGTTGTTGCTGCTGTTTACGGCATCGAAGATTGTACAATTGTTTTTATTAGATAACAAGCAAATTTGTATTTAAGGACGGATCGCAATCCGCGACCAAGCCCAGCTAAATGGAAATACGCGGGAGAGATATAGAAAAAGAATAAATGGTTGTCGAATAACTATAAAATATAAAAATAAGGAATCTCAAAATCAAAGGTTTCAATCCTAAGAAGCTTATCTCTTAAGCTCAATATATTTTGCCTTTTTATAGTTTGCTATTTATATATTCAAGTAGCAAATGGCATTAAATCTTGAAATATCACACATACGTCATGTATGCCGGAGCTATAAATAATTTAATGGAAAGCAAATAAAGAAATCGTGGAATAAAACAGAATTAGATCATGGGAGTATACAAATTATCGGCTTTAAAAAATATACTTTATAAAACAGTCCATCAGTAGGGGTTTTATATTAAAACTTATTATCGAAAAAATGTAAAGACTACAAAGTCAAAGGCTTTGACATATATTTTCCTCTCAAGGGCTTCAATTAAACATTAGTTGGACTTGGATCACCCAAGTATTTAGTTAAACATCACTAAGTAGAGCCCTTAAGTGTAGGATCTTAGTACTCAACTACTTCAAGCCCTTGATAGATAAACATGCACTTTACAGAGATTCTAAACGATCTTAAAGTACAAGAAAGTTTAAAACTATTTCTTTTTGGATCTTATAAAATTGTTTATTCTGAATAAAACAATCCATTCTTAAATTCAAAGATTACTTTTCATTTCACTAATTAATTTTCTTTTAATATATTTCTTTCTTTGAAAAAAAGATTAATATTATTTCTCTAAAGGGATTATAATCTTTTTAGGTTGAACCCAGGTTTCTGTTACTCCTATATTTAACACTGAATGTTCTGGAAGAGTATAAATACTCACTCGAATACCCGAAGCCCTTGTCCCAGTTGCATACACTCAGTATTGAAGCCCTTGCAATTGCAACCCCTGACTTGAGCTGGAATTAGATAAGCCGAATATATAGTAGCCGATCGCTAAGTAGTTGCCCAAGTGCGAAGATCTATTGTTGATATGGGGAGCACCAGAGTTCTTCAGAGAGACAACGTTCTTGATGTTGCTGCCGTTCATGTTGCTCGTGTTGTTCGTGTTGCTCGTGTTGCTGTTGCTATTGTTGCTCCTTTGCTTTTGTTGTTGCTTCGTTATCGCCTCGCGACGACGGCGTCAACATTTGCAAATGACGTCAAATGTTATAAAGAAATTTCAGACCGTATATGTATGTATATAGGTGTGTGTACATATATATGAGATATATACCTACATTGTATGTACATTTGCTTGTATATATGTTTATTATTTGGTGTTTGTTGCTGCTGCTGTGCACTGGCGTAACTGGATAGCCGCGTCGCTGGCATTTCCATTATTATCATAATGTGCTGTTCGATTTGGGTTTCGGTTTGGTTTTGGGCTTGGGTTTTCGATTCAATTCGATTCAATTCGATTGGATTGGATTGGATTGCCTTGCTCGAAACTGGGCGGTTTCGCCTGTGGTTGCCGATTGCCAGTTGCATGGTGTTGCTAGTTGGTGTTGCTGGTTGCCGGTTGCCAATTGATGTTGCTGGTTGCTGGTTGGCAGCTTCTAAGCTCTCGGATGCCGCAGATGGAGCTGCCAAGATGCCAACACGTCCCAACAATGCCTACTTAGTTTCGTCTCTCCTAACTGATTTTTCTTACTTATTTTTCTCTTTTTTTTCCTTTTTGCGAACTGCGTTACATGGCACATACATGTGTATGTAGTAAATTTAATCAATTTTGATTGATGTGTGCGCATTACAGCAACATCAGCAGCAACAAAAGCCGCGTTTATAAACCCAAAAGCAGTCAAAGGCCAAAAAGCCAGCTGCAACGAACTGATAATACCCTCCTCGAAAAGGGATTTTCTATTCTTTTGTGCGGAAGAAAGGGAAGTTCCTATTTATATTGGAGATTAAATGGGATTTCCTTTAGGAACTCTTTATAATAATCGGCTTCACCGAGGGGATTCTGCAGAAAACTTACTAATGGGGAGTTTTATTCTGTAAATCCCAAAAACAAATTTCTTTTCCGGTTAAACATTCTTTCACATTAACGATGAGTAATCGGTTTTTTACTACTTCCAATGTGTCATATTTAAAGTAGGAAACTGGGAAAATTAAGATATAAAAATAAGCAACCCTTTAAATTTTCTAGTGAATATAAAATATACTTTTACTGCAGCAGTTTTATGGCTGATACTCCTTAGTTATGTTCCTCATTGTCTTACTGAATTTTATTCTTACTTTTTGGAGACCCGAAAAGGGTATTTTGACTGTCATAGGGACCTCTATAAATTATTATGATCACTTGGACTTGGTCGGTTGAACAGGAAGGGGAATTTGTTTTTGTAAGCGAGAGAGCGGTTTTTGAACTTTTTTGGCGCGAACGGGTTCGCAAATGCGCAGAAATCAAAATGCAGCGCCAGCTCTCCAATTCTCCAACTCTCCGACTTCTCCCTCTCCAACTCTTTGGCTTCTCCCTCCAACTCCTTCTTCTTCTTCTCCAACTCAAACTGCATTACACATTAAAAATCAAACTCTATATCTATTGCGGATTTTCGATAACCAATTGCAGAGGTTGTTAAACTTGTAAAGGAAACTTTAATGCACTTCATCGAGTGCCGTGGGCCAGATTCCACATAAGATGTCCGTGTGCGCTCTCAGCCAGCCACAGCCGCAGAATCCGAGTCCCAATCCGAACCAGAATCCAAATCAGAATCCCAATCAAAGTCCAACTCCGAATCAGAATCAGAGTACGCATCCCAATCAGAATCCAAAGCAAAAGAGCTTGGCAACGAGATTACCGGCTTTAGCAACCGGAAACGGAAGTGTGTTGAAGCTAAACGGCAAGGCGAAAGGATCGGTGACCCCGCCCACTCCGCCACCTTCGCCGCAGGTGAGGATCTACGAGGACTTCGACAGGATGAGTGCCAAGGAGGTCTACTACAATGAGGCGGGCAAGAAGGTGACCGTCAAGCTGCTCCACTTTCCCGATGTTCCGCCCGAGGAAATATCGAAACTGAAATTCGCAGACGACGACGATGATGAATCGAATCAGGAGGATGGTCAGGAGGATGGCGACGAGGCGGACGAGGATAGTGATTCCGGGCGGAAACCGCCTGCAACGCCGGAAAGTGAATCCGAATGCCAGAAGGCCGTCCAATCGGAATCCTCCGGCGGAGCGAGCAGTTCCTCCAAGAAGATATTCCGCCGGAAGCTCTCCGGAAACAATATGCAACCGAGGAAGTGCAGCTTGGCCTTCGCACAGGCACATGGAATTCGCCAGCGAGCGGAGAAGAAACTGTCGATGCCAACGATCAGCATTACGGCCAATTCCGGAGGAGATCACGCCAGTGGACATGGACACAACTGCGGTTTGCGACTGGGCCTGGGTCGCAAGCTATCGCAGCAGAGCTCCCTGCCCCTCGGATCGCCACTCGGTTCGCCCACGAATCTCGGTCCACGGCGATCCCATTCGCCGCTCGGCCAGAGCCTGTGTCCTGGTTACATCCAGTACTCGAAGTCCCTGCTGGAGGTTCCCATGCCGAGGGACTATGGTTACGCCAGCAGCGACGACCTCAGCTCCGAGTGGGACTCCGATGTGTCCACCTCGGCCGCCGGTTCCGAGGCAGCGGGATCGGGGTCATCGGGTCAAGGAACTCCCAGCAAGAAGGTAGGATTACAAGCTTGAAGAAGTGACCCTTCCATGGAAGAGGGTTTAAGGTTGAAGGGTTTGTATGCCAGCAAATGGGAAGTGATAAAGAAGAATATAAAGAAGTTTATCTGTGAACCTATTCACAAATATTTCAAATCTATTTATCCTTTTCCCTTAAATATGTATTCCCTTTAATCTAATATATATATTCCCATTATTTGTTTATTTTCATTACACAAAAATATCCATAACTATACATAAGTTGTATAGTTTTATAGATGAAATTGTTTAAACACTCATTCTCTACTTTTAATTTGAAGTAAAACTAGCTTATTTTATTAGAACAAACGAGGTTTTAGGTACCTTCACAAATATATCTTATTGAGTTTATAATGGTTTGATAATGGTCAGATTATTGCTTTAATTGTAAGGCCTTTTAGGCAACATACTCTATTCAAAATGTTTGTCATCTATAAATTGATTCTTTAATAATTACTATAAAAATGTAATAATTTTATCAACAAATTTACTTCTGCAACTAACTATGTACTGTTTTATAATCCCACAACTGAATCGGCAGATCGAGAGCAATCCAATATCCACGTGATTTTTCAGCTGATCGACTGAAACGTGTGTTTGCATTGGCTTTAATGATGACAGCTCAGCTGAAAAATCAGGGCAAGAAAATGGGTCTTAAGTCAGCTGACAGCTGCCCCGAGCGAATTGTTTTATTTCCCATTAACAATAAACAAAAATAATTAATAATTGTTAAATGAGTTGAAAGCAAGCAAAGGCAACTTTTCGGTTACCGAATAATTGAATGAATTGTTTTAATGATTGCATTTTGCGAATTGAAATGTGATTCCGAATATACTTTTTAAACACTCTCGTATATGAAATGTAATATTTAGCTATCCATTTATTTGACAGCCATTTAAAATGACTGATGTGAATTACTATTTGAACTATATTATTTATACATTTTATTAAATAATTTTCCTTTCACATCGAATCCCAATAGAACCCTATTAATTGCATACCCCCTTCTTCTTTTAGAGTTCCGGGTGGCGGAAGATCCGGAACATCGTCCAGTGGACGCCCTTCTTCCAGACGTACAAGAAGCAGCGCTACCCATGGGTCCAGCTGGCCGGACACCAGGGCAACTTCAAGGCGGGTCCCGAGCCCGGCACCGTCCTCAAGAAGCTCTGCCCCAAGGAGGAGGAGTGCTTCCAGATCCTCATGCAGGACCTCCTCCGGCCCTACGTGCCCGTCTACAAGGGCCAGGTGACCAGCGAGGATGGCGAACGTGAGTTCCGGATTGTTAATTCCATCAATTTATAATGCATTTATAGCATTTCCTAAATAATATAAATAAGAATTAAGGGAGTGCTTTTTGTAAAGTATTCTCTCAGTTTTAAAGCCATCTTGCTGGAACAAAATTATACTAAATTATACTAATTTCTAATTACTAATTATATAATTAGATAATCGGATAATGAAAACCAGAACTTAAACTATAACTATTCTTAATGATGTCCGATTTTGGATTGGAATACCTCCAAATATCATTATCAATATCATTTATCAATAAGTAAACCCCCCTAATCCTTGGCATCTTTCAGTGTACCTGCAGCTGCAGGATCTGCTGAGCGACTACGTGCAGCCGTGTGTGATGGACTGCAAGGTGGGCGTGCGCACCTATTTGGAGGAGGAGCTGTCCAAGGCCAAGGAGAAGCCGAAGCTGCGCAAGGACATGTACGACAAGATGATCCAGATCGATGGCCACGCCCCCACCGCCGAGGAGCACGCGGCCAAGGCGGTGACCAAGCCGAGGTACATGGTCTGGCGGGAGACCATCTCCAGCACGGCCACCTTGGGATTCCGCATCGAGGTGGGTTCCCCTTATCTATAAATGTTATATAGATATTCATCCTGTTGGATCAGTTCAAAGATCATCCAATAATATTTCATCAGGCGAGGTTTAATATTCTTTTATCATCACAAATTTTCATTGGTTTCTTATAGGTTTTTTTGATCAATTATCATCCATTATCTATTCAACTAGCAATAATATTTCACTAGGTGGTTTAATAATATATCATCATTACAAATTTTAATTTATTTCTTATAGGTTTTTTTGATCTATTATCATCCATTATATATTCAACTATTGTATTTGTTTTTTTTATTTTTTTTATTTTTGTGGGCTATAGTTGGGCACTTCATCCTACAACATTAATTATTTTATTTTCCGTTGCTCTCTTACAAGTTCATTCTATAATACATAATTGTATCCAATTATTATCCATTAAAGGCAAGAGTTTTTTTTCTCAATAATTGTCCATTAAACCTTTTAGAAATTGCTTTGACTGTCAGGGTTTTGTTTTTCATTTATCTTCATTAAAAATTCCACTTTCTTTTGCTTTTCATAACTACTCAAAAGCCGTAACTTCATCAATTATTAAAAAAAGTGCGTACAAGAATATGTCCGCTTGCCCTTTCCCCTTAAGGGGTTATATACCTTTTTCAGACTCAAAAAATCGAAAAAAATTTTATGATTTTTTTTTTGATGTACATACTTTCAACAATTTTTCTGCAAAATTTTGTAGAGATCGGGGCACTAGAACCTAAGATACAGCCGTTCATAGCGCACGGTGAACATGACTACCTAATGTCCACCTAAAACTTTAAACGCGATTATCTCGGAGTCGCATTTTTGAGAAAAGGTCATTGCGGTGAGCAAGATATCTCGGTAACCACTACATCGATCGATTTGAAATTTTGGGGGATTGTTTGTAGATACAATAGCTAGTTTGTGAACGAAGGAATTTTTTTTTTCGACAAATTTTTATATTTTTTTGGGGCGAAAAACTAAATTATTAGACCTCGAAAAATCGGTTTTTTTGAAAAAATAATCACTGTAACTGTAAAAAATTTTTTTTCGTAAAATCCTTCGTTCACGAACTAGGTAACACTATATACTAACGTAGTTTTTTTCATTTTTTTTTAAGTTGAGCCGTTTTCTTGTTTTCATGCTCACCGCAAGCCTCTAATGAAAAAAGGACTTCTGCGGGAAGGACTATAACTTCCACAATACTCAAAATTTTCACTCGAAATTTTATACGAATTAAGTTAAGGACACGTACTTTGATAAAATTTTTATTGAATTTAAATAAAACAATGGTAACATGCTAAAAAAAAAAAAATAAATAAAAACCATATATTTCTCTGGTGAAAAAGGTATATAACCCCTTAATTTCTGCCATTTTCCTATAGTATAACCACTGTTCAGACTAATGTTCATTTATAATGAAATTCATTTCCAATTTGCAGGGCATCAAGAAGAGCGATGGCACCAGTTCCAAAGATTTCAAGACGACGAAGTCACGCGAACAAATCAAGTTGGCCTTCGTCGAGTTCCTCAGCGGCCATCCCCAAGTTCTGGTGGGTGAATCCATAGTTCCCTCATTGAATTCCATTAACTCTGGGTTTTTCCTCTTTTTTCCCCTTTTTTTTGGAATATTTTTTGATATGATAGCCCCGATATATTCAACGATTGCGAGCAATTCGGGCCACTCTATCCGTATCGGAGTTCTTCCAAACACATGAAGTGATCGGCAGCTCCTTGCTCTTTGTCCACGATCAAAGCCACGCGAGCATTTGGCTAATAGACTTTGCCAAGACGGTGGAGCTGCCGCCGCAGCTAAGGATCGATCACTACTCCGCCTGGAAGGTGGGCAACCACGAGGACGGCTATCTCATCGGGATCAACAACCTGATCGACATTTTTGTGGAGCTGCAGGCGGAGCAGGAGGCCGCATCGCTGGCATCCACGTCCGTTTCTGGCGAGGATCGCGACGAGTCGGCTGTCGAGAACAAACAATGATGGGGCTTTCCTTTTCCTCACGAAGATTTGGGGCTGGGCCCCGAAAAGGCAAAGACATTACCCCCTTCCAAAATCGATTAATCGAAATTCCCCATATATTCCTAGGCTTTACGTTACTTTTTTTTTTTTTTTTTTCGCTAAAACCGTTTGCGTACATTTAATTCCTAATTTTAAAATCAAAGACTGAGACCACAATATGCATACATACACAATACTTTTACTATACGATATACGCGTACGTATATAGAAAATATATAGCCTAGATTATATATGTGCTGCTGCTGCAATCGCTGTCGCTGTTCTGTAGTGTAATTTATTTATCCAAAAAAGAAGAGCAAATTGACGTTTGGCGATTCCCCAAATGAGAACCGAATTGTTGTTGATCGTAACCATACGATAAGTAACTAAGAACACCCCACGCGCAACAATAAATTAGTTTTAGTTATTAATGTAATGGTTATGCGACTACCTACTAAATACTACTAATTGTGCACTATTAAATTCAGTTAAACCAGAAAACCGAAATGTAATTGTTTTATTTTAAAACTAAGAAAATTGGGTTTCTCGTGGAATCAATTATTACATGATATTTCTTAAATGAGAAACATTATTTAAACAACTTTTAAACTGTTAACAGTGCGCGCCCTAGTTAAGATATCGATAACATTCAACAAAGCTAGCAGTCACGTTAGATAACTGCTAAGCTTTTAGTGTTGCCTAACCCACAACCCTAACCGAGGCTTAAACCAATATTAAAGTTGATAATAGAATTTAATTTTTGGAGTTTTTAGTTTGTTAAAAAGGTCTGTGTTATTTTTGTTAGAAAACCAGTTCATCCCAAGGTCCCAACTAAGCTTTACAAAGCCAAGCCTCCAACCTTAGTTTCACTAGGTTTATGCAAAGGTTTTGGGATTTTTTAGTACAATTTGTGGTTGTCGCATTTTGGGGGAAAATTAGCGCCGCTATATAGTATATAGTTTCACGATCTCGACCATTCGCGAATAAAAGTCGTGCCGAAAGGTTAGCGCTGAAGCTTGAGAAGCTATAGAACCCACGCGGAAGTCGAGCAATTACCGAGTTTACCAAGAAAACTAAAGCTACAGTGAGTGTTTCCGGCGATGAACAGGTCGCTAATTCTTAGCAAAGTGAGGGAGAAATTGCGGGAGAGCGTAAGATTACCAGACATTCGAATCGAATAACTGTTGTTGCCGTTGCCACCGAAATGTGTGTTTTGTCTGTGGATGTGCAAAGATAGTGTGTTGTTGGGTCGCCAGAATTGAGATTATTTCACCAGTTTCTTTTTTTTTGCACCGCACCGAGAGCATAGTTTTTAGTTTCCTCTTTTATTTCCCTAGCTGTTTTTTTTGGCACGTCCGTCGCACACACACTCGCACACACATACACACGAACACATAGCCGGCAAAAGAAGAAAAATGAGAGGAACAAATATTTGCCAATTCAGAAATATTTGTGATTTGTGTAATTAATTCGCTACGAACTAGCATCCATTACATGGCAAAATGCGAACGTGCTTAAAGTTCAAATCAACGAAATGGGAACAACATTTTTGGCTAATTTATTATTCCGGGTTTCTTCCATTTCTTTCGTTTCGGCGGCCATTTTGTAGAGTTCAACTTTTCCCTCTTCAAATCTCCCTAGTCTATTGCGAAATATCTGGAAAGGGCAAAATTACACTTAAACTTTTTAAATTGCCGCATTAGTAGTTTGAGTTATGGAGAGTTTAAGTGCAAAATTACAAAGTTACACGATTTTGGTTTACCTTGCTGCTAAGGCTAATTAGTTATGGAAAGTTTGTTAGATTTAAATACAGATAATAATAGGGATTAACTTCTTCAAATATTTTTTAATAATCTGATGGGGTAAATAAAATATTTTGGTTGACTGGTTGATGTCATTTTTATAGGGGATCAGAAATTTGATAATGATGATTTGATAATAATTCAAGAATCAAGGTTGTAATTGCCACTTAAAATTGATTTTAAAGTAGACATACAGGGGATTTTTTTCCAGCTGTTAAGATAATGGAAATTAAAATTATTGATTGCAAAATGAGTTTCTAGCACAGAATTAGTTAAGATATTTTCTGTAGTTATTTGGATTTAATCTGATAATATTGGATATCAGATTTACCATTAATTTGTACCAGTTGGTACTTGGTTGTTTGAGCACCATGTTTTTGACTATTTTTATCCAATTTAAGACACAATTTTTAACTCGTAATCCCCCCTGTTTTGCCCTATTTAGATGCCCCAGCTGCAGAAACCCGCTCCCGAGTTCGCCGGCACCGCCGTGGTCAACGGCGTGTTCAAGGACATCAAGCTGAGCGACTACAAGGGCAAGTACCTGGTGCTGTTCTTCTATCCGCTGGACTTCACCTTCGTCTGCCCCACGGAGATCATCGCGTTCTCGGAGAGCGCCGCCGAGTTCCGCAAGATCAACTGCGAGGTGATCGGCTGCTCCACGGACAGCCAGTTCACCCATCTGGCCTGGATCAACACGCCCAGGAAGCAGGGCGGTCTGGGCAGCATGGAGATCCCCCTGCTGGCCGACAAGTCGATGAAGGTGGCCAGGGACTACGGAGTGCTGGATGAGGAGACCGGCATCCCCTTCCGCGGCCTGTTCATCATCGATGACAAGCAGAATCTGCGACAGATCACCGTCAACGATCTGCCCGTGGGCCGAAGTGTCGAGGAGACCCTGCGTCTGGTCCAGGCCTTCCAGTACACCGACAAGTACGGCGAGGTGTGCCCCGCCAACTGGAAGCCCGGCAAGAAGACCATGGTGGCCGATCCCACCAAGTCCAAGGAGTACTTCGAGACCACCTCCTAAGCACGAGAGAAGCTATTGTCAGCCCGTCTTTTTTTTTTGTGTTTTGTTGGCGGGGGCTGCTCCTGGCGAGCGGGAGCTGATTCGAATCGCAACCCCCCGCCAGCAAATACATACCTATACCATACCATATATATCCTACATATAACCCTAGATCGTAGCGAGGAGCAGAGAAGAAACTGTGCGAAGAACCAAACCTTTACTGGCAACATAAACTAAACAAGTTAGAATAACAACTGCAGCAGCTGAACGTAAAGTGATCTGTTCATTATTTTCGTGTGTATGCTTTTTTTTACCATTCAACCACAATAAATATACATAATATGATTGTACGGAAGAAAAGTCGGCGCACGTGGCTCTTTATCAGGGGGTGGCGGACGGACTTTCGCCTCAAACCTGCTGGCTTATCGCCGCGGAAACATTTCCACTGAACCAAGAAGAAAAAGTGTGTGGAATGAAAAAGAAGTAGGCGACTTATCTGCCACCGTCTGCGGCCGTCGGATTGCGAAATAGTAAGAGGAACTGAATCAGAATGCCAAGAATGCCCCGCTGAGTAGTGAACGTCATAGCAGCTGCACCGAGAGAAACTAGGGGTGTGTCATCATAGAAGAAGTACACTAATTCTTGGATTATAATAGGAGTTTTATGACTTATTGTGCCTTGTTGTGCATTTTATTTCACCATTCTAATTGAAAGTTACTTTTTACTCGTATGAGACTTCAATTATTCTAGGCAAGTATTTATAAAACAATTTTGAGTCATTTATAAGTAAATAATTTCATCTGAAATATCATGAATATTTACAAAAATATTAAATATAATCTAATCTATAATATGTAGATATGCTGTAAAACATAGAATATGTATCTTGAATTTATCTTTTCGGTGATATTTTCTCAGAGTGCAGCAACAGCTGTTGCTGACACAGTAACCGAGTGCACAATTCCCGTTTTGTTGGCATACTACGCCATATATATAGACACCCGATCCCAGCACTGCCTCCACATCACAATTACAATCACATCGCAACCCAACCGGCATTTCAATGTTAAGTGCAAGCGAGAGTCGTCTAGTCGACGTGGATGTCTTGCATAAAAAGCGGCTCTTGACTCCCCACACAAACACATCTACACATATAGCTACACATATACAATATATAGTATAGTAATATTGGTATTCGAGCCCTGTCTCCCGGTTTTTAACCCCTCATCTTTGGTACAACTATTACGTCTAGTTTCGCGCCGCATCACACGATTTGTCTTCGGTGGATTTGATCTCTTCCACAAAAACTAGTTTCCCCAGCCCCAGACACATGGGTGTTGTATACAGTATGTGTGTGGTTATATCGTGGTACCCATATATTATAGATTGCCGACCAGCTGCGAGGCGTTGAAAACGCTTTGGAACCTACTGGAAACCGAAACAGAACCCTTTCCCATGCGAAACCCAAAGTGGTGCGATCTGATCGAAACGATTGCTGCGCACGTTACGTCGTTAGTTTCTGGACGATCGGCGAAATCGTTGGGGCTTGGGGTTTGGGGTATAGCCGACTTTACTCGACCGCCCATTCCGGCATTATCATTATCAGTCTGCTAATTGCGCCTGTTGGCCACGGTTACTCAAGTTCATTTCACACACAATAAAAGTTGAGATAATGGCTCATACAATGGGATTTCCCTGTTCGCAATTCATAGATTCTTTTGGGTTTGGACGGGAGAATGGGTTGTGAAAAAGGCATATGGAGTAGTAAAGTAAATATTAAATATTAAAATATGCATTAAAGAATATATTTGATGGGTATGTTGTTCGTGGGACACCCCTGCGTATGAGTAATTTATATGTTGAACTCTTATAAACTAAAATCCTTTGTTTGTTTGAGCTCTTGTATTAGAAAATCAATTTTTTTTAAGTTCTAGAATGTTGAACAAAATGAAATAATCTCAAATTAAGCACAATTAAATTACATTTGTTACAGGTGCAAAAAAAAAACCCTAAACCGCAACAAGTGTTTTTTCAATAGGTTTTTAAATTGAACTTTTAATAAGCAAAAACATGTTTATATTTTTCTTGTGTTATAATTGTTATTTTAATAATTTGTTTTATTATTATATTTCAATTTAGGTCACAATAATTGAGTTCAAGTTAGGGCACTCCATCTTCGTGATGCCAAGAACTCGTTGATTCAGAATCGTTTTTACCTGAGCTTGTTCGCCGAGTTGTGGACGTACAGAAAACGCTCTATTCATATTCATCAACCGCTCGACAGCTGCAAAAAGAGATTGCTTCTGCTGAATCATGGCACCCAAAACGGCACAACGGCAAAAGCCAACTGAAACGTACAATAATCTCGGTCTGAGCCCGATTTCTGTGCCAACGGGCCAATTGAGGGCGTTGCAAATGTCATTGTCGGTGACTTTCAATGCCTCCAATACTTGCAACCGGGCCCATAGAATCAATAATTGTTATTGGGTGGCAACAACAACAACAAAAAAAAAAAAAGGGAGCACTTTGCTCTAATGAAATTCCAACCGAATGCTGCAGCAATTGCATGTGGGTGGGAAATCACACGGAAAATATACCCAATATTCCATATCCAATCGCTGGGAGTCGGCATCCGGAAAACAACTAGATGCACACACAGTTGCGGGAATATCAATAGTATTAGTTGTTTGAAATTAGCAATTACGAAAACATAGTTGCGGAAACACCTGTTGATTTTGGTGGCACTAACTAGCGGTTGTAATTTATTATTATTGTGCATTTAAAAGGGTTTCTATATTAGATATTCTGATGCGCCTTGCCAAATACCAAAGATGGTTTATAGAAATGTCTATATTATTTTTATTTTCCTACAAGCCTAGTAATTTCCAAAAAAGACATAACTTTCTTTTAAAGTTGTATAATTTCTGACCCTTGAAATGGTAATAAAATTTAAACAGCAATAAATATAACAACAGAAAAAAACATCTTAAAAAAGAAATATGTATAAATTTTGTACCTTAAAAAATCTGTCTATGATTATGCTTTATGCATGTTGGCCCACAAATTCCTTCCATCAAAAAGCCTAAAATGGATTAAGGCTAAACATACTTATTAAGGGGCACAACTAGTGTGACGGCCTAAAAAAATGGTGATTTTTGGGAATTTTTATAAAAAAAACTACTTGATCAATTCTTTTCAAATTTTCAGAATATATTTATACATGTATATAGTGTATAGTGAAATTTTTAAAGAAAAAAGTTAAATATTTTTTAAGTTATAGTCGATCTCCAACGGCACTAAAAAAAAAAGTGCCTTAACTGCTGCAGTGATTCCGGCCCTCTCCGTGGACGAAATCAAAAAATGAAAAATTCTCGTTAAACTAGATAAAATTTTCCATACCATGAACTACGATAAATAAAAAATATCAAAAAATGACAAAATGGCAGCGTTTTAAAAAAAAATATCGAATTTTAACCAAAATTTTGGTCGTTTTTGGCCTGCCAAAATTCGATTTTTGATCGGATCAAAAAACCGATAGTTCATGGTACGTAGAACTATATAAAGAACATGTAAAAAAAATTTGGTAATGATCGGATCACTAGTTTTTGAGTTATCACTGCAGCAAATTTGGAAAATGCTGTTTCGAGAAAAACGCGTTTAAAGATAAAATGATCGTTTGCACTGTTATGAGAGCGGCTGCTCTTTAAATTGTTATAACTCAAAAACTATTTGAGATATCGATTTTAAATTTTAATATGTTATTTTTAAAGGTGTAATCTACCGAAATAGGAAAAAAAAATTTTTTTGATTTTTTTAAAACTTCACACTAGTTGTGCCCCTTAAAAACACATTAGAGCTGGTTAGTTGGTTGCTATTTTCCTGACAACTTTGAGTGCTATGCTGTAGTGATTATTATATAGTGCAGACTGATAAGTGGAAATCGGGGGGCTTTTGCTGGGTATTCTTGATATCAGTGGGAATGGGTCGTGCGGAATGACATGCCCAAAATGGCAAACATGGCCAACTCCGCCATATTAAGCTTCGCCAATCAATTTCTTCGATCTTTCAATTACCTTTGCGATAAGAAAATGCGGGGGTGTGCTGGCCAAAACAATTGCTGAGTTGTAATTGACCCGCCCAGAAATAGATAACGATTTAGACGGCCTGATAAATTACATTAATTCTGAGCCACACGCAACTCCAATATCGATCGGCAGTCAATATGAACAGTAATTGCAGTTTACTGCACGCCAATTACCACAGTTAAAGAATATTCTATCGGGGTCAGGATAAAGATAATGAGTGTAATTGCATTCTTAAATGCTATCAATTTGAATTTAGTAGTGTGCTTTAATTGAGCTGCAAAGTATGCAATCAGTTTTAAATTGCTGGGCATAACAAACTTTCAGTGTTGGTTAAGTGCTGTGTTATTCGGGCACACTGTTTCGAATGTGTTTTTTAGCACCTAATTAAAGGGCTGCATCATAAATTATTCGTTGCCCGCCAATATTAGATGCTTTTCAAATGTTGATAACAGCTAAGGACCAAATTCTAGAACATGACCTTAGCACTTAAATTATCTTGTTCCATAATTGTTTTTGTAAAGCTTAGTATAAATCATATTCCCTAAATTCATAATCTTATCATATCAAAGGCTTCTCTGCCTATAGTTTAAAATACTGGTAATGAAGTTTAAAATATAAAATGAAATTTATTTAAATAAAACAATTTAAAAAAAAACAATTATTTAAGTTTTATAAGACTATTTAAAAAGACGTCAAAAAGCGTAAAGGGTTTTTTGATTTAAGGTGTTTTCTGATCTTGTTTGGATATTTTGAAAAAGGGGTTCGAATATGTGGAGTTCAGAAAACAATTTAAGTTCGAATATTTTGAAATCTGCTTTTGTCAAGCGTTTTTAACTGTAGAAGCTTCATTCTTAGTTAAGCTAACAATAAAGCAAAAATGCGTACATAGAAATTATAGGTGATATGTTAAATCCTGTTCATAATAAAATGAGTGTAAGAAGTTTAGAAAGCAAAGAAGTAGTTAAACTTTAGGCTTTCTGTATTGCAGACACGTATCTTCGAGTAAGCTACCTTGATGCTGAAGCAACCACATGGCGCGTCCACTTCTGCCTTTCTTAAAGGCCTACATTTTGCAAGTAATACGGCTTTGATTTTATAAATTTCCTTGGCTCACTGTTCATCTCTTGCGATCTCCGCTCAATTTCATATTATACACACAGTCGGTTTAATGTTAACAGATCGATTTACTGTCGCTATTGGTTTTCATCACTGAACGGCTTACATATTTCATAGATCGTAAACAAAATGGTAATTAAATATATTATGTATCAATCATTTTATTTCGCGTTTCTTTTGTGAACATTCATTGTCGGTGGTTGTCTTGAATGAATGCAAACAGCGTTCTCGCCCCCTTGGTTTATGTTTTACACAAAACATTAGCTTGGATTTGTTGTAAATGGTCGGTGAAATAAAACGTCAATCTACATATCAACTCCCCACACAGACTGTCGCTTCGATATCTTCAATGGCTCTAGAAGAAGAAGCCGAGGATCTTGCCTCCCAGATGTTTTCTCCTGGCCTCCTCGTGGTCCATAATTCCGCCCGAGGTGGTGAGCACAACGTAGCCGAACTGACGGGACGGCAGCAGATTGTTGGTCCACTTCTCGATGTCGTTGATGGGCACATCGAAACGGGGCGAGATGACGCCGCACTTGTTGAGGCGACCGGTCAGGTTGACCACGATCTTGCTGGAACGATGATCGTCGACGATCTCGAACTCGCCGATGTAGCCGTGCTTCATCATCACGGTCAGGAACTTGATGATCACCTTGGAGCAGGGACGCAGCAGCACCTGGCGCTTGCCACGCTTCTCGGCGTTGTTGATGCACTTGAGGGCATCGGCCAATACGTTCATACGCACCATGGCTGCAAGATGTAGTGGTTGCAAAGATACGTGGTTAGTTGTGGTTTTAAGTTGGAGTATTCACACGACAAAACGCAGGGAGTAAGCTATGGAGTAGGAAACTACTAGTTTTAAGGAAGTTTGAAAGTCTACTCGGCAAAACTGATACATTTAGGCTTGGGAAACTGTATCTTAAAGATACCTCTTAAGAAAGTATGGCGACTAACGACTAGCACAAGAATATAATAATCAATCGACTATCTAAAGACTTTTGAATTACTAATACAAAATGAAATTATATAGTAAACCTTTACACATTATAGCTTTTTGAATACCTATCATATAAAAACAAACGCTCTTTTACTTTTTTGGAGGCGTGGCCAAATTTAGACAAGGGGTTTTACAATGCAAATGAATTGTAGTTTCTAAAATCTTTACTTTAAATTCAACAAAATTTAAATCAATTGTGGGTGGGTGAATTTATATAAAGTTCCTTTCGAATTAAAAAAAAAATAACTGGCATAAAAACGGAACAGCAAGCAAAACACGTGCAAAATACCAGGAAAAAAATGCTGTCTGTGTTTCTTTAGTTGTGTGTGTGTGTGTGCAAGTGGCTGTAAACAACAACTATTTTTGGTTGGTTTTTCGTTGCAAGTACTCCGAAATTCATTTATTTTTGCCGGTTCTTAGTGATTTGATTAATTTAATCAAATTCCAGAGTTTGGGCCACACTTTTAAGCCACCAACACACACACATTCATGCACAACAACACTGTGCAACACAGTTTTCGGTTAGCTTTTCACTTCATATTCTTTCGCACAGTAAAAAAATATAACCAAAAAAATATATATATCCAATAATATGCAGTGAGGCATTTCACATATTGTTTACAAGGTAAACTACCAGGTAACAACTCAATTTTGGCTCGGGGCCCACAGTAAAAAAATTTGTAATAAAAAAGTGGTATTTGCACATGTTTCGCCCGGCGCCCGCCACAAATCTTATCTTTCTGCGTTTTAGCGGTGAAAACGGGTCCAATGGAAGCAGCAAATTACCTGGGATTGGTTTGCAAACACTGATTTACACGACCGCTGCAAAGAGAGGAAATAAAATGGATTTAAGTGCAAATTCTGTGAACAAAATCGCGGAGAACACGCACTCACGCAAACGTGAAAAGGGAAAAGAAAGGGAAACGGAAGGAAAAAGACGGACGATAATGTGGCCGGCGCACGAAAAAGTGGCTGAAATCGAAACGGTAATCGATAGTTTTCCGGACACAAACCATGTTTATAAAATGCTGTTATAGATGTGAATCAATTTTACAAAAATCATGTAAATATAAACATGAACATAATAGAACAAATAATAACATACTTCTCAAAAATTACTAATATTTGTATATTTATCTATCAAACAAAATTCATAATTCCTCATATATTTTTGGTTTAACATTTTTATGAAGCTGTATCCGTTACCCAAACCTTTGTCATCAAAACTACTTATCGATATTTTTACTACAGTTTTTACCGGCTCAGGGTTGTTCTAAGCAACAGTGTCGAAGAAGAGTTGCCGGATTTTGTAGCCGCACGAAACTGCCACTCTAAATAGTTTTTATAAACAATGTCCAAACAGTAAGTAATTCGTTATTTATCGCCATTTTAAATAGCTTTTAAACAACTTTGAACCCACAGATATGGCCTTATCATCCCGGGGCAGCAGAAGAAGGTCCCCGTTAAGCCGCCCGTAAAGCCCTCCATTTTCGACGAGAGCAGCGCTTCTGAGAGCGACGACGACCGCAATGCGCCACAAAATTTAAAATCGAAAACCGGCGTGTCCAGCGGACCCAGCCTAATGGAGCGTCGCGTGGCCCGTAAGCAGCAGGAGAAGGCCCTCGCCGAGGATCCCACAATTTTCCAGTACGACGAGCTCTACGACGACATGGACAACAAACGTGAAGAGGCCAAGCAAACGAAGAGCCAGGAGCCCCGGAAACCCAAGTACATCGGCCGACTGATGGAGCATGCCGAGCGCCGGAAGCTGGAGAAGGAGTTGCGCATCGAACGGCAGGTGCAAAAGGATCGCGAGGCCGAGGGCGAGATGTACAAGGATAAGGACACCTACGTGACGGCCGCCTATCGCAAGAAGCTCGAATCCATTCGCCAAATGCAAGAGCAAGAGCAGCGGGACGAGTACCTCGAAGCTATCGGGGATGTAACCAAGCAGAAGGATTTGGGCGGCTTCTATCGCCATCTCTACGAACAAAAACTGGGCAACGCCGACGAGGATGTGGTGAAGCCAAAGACGGCGCCCTCCACCGAAGAGGTTGCCTACAAGCCGATCAAAGCAGAGGCGGCTAAGCACCGCAGCTATCGGCGACGTCGCTCCTCCGAGGAAGAGGCGGAGGCCAAGGCCAAGTCTGGCCAGGATTCGGAGACCAAAACCTCGACAGATCAGACGGAAAGCAAGCCGGCACAGGCTCATCTGGCCAACAACATAGATGCCGATTCCGATTTCAGCATAGACGACTCCAGCGACGAAGAGGAGGAGAAGAAAAAGGATCAGGAACAGGATAAGAGCAAGGATAAACTGCACTCGCAAGGCAAAAAGAAGGAAAAGGACAAGCCGCAGGAAAGTTCGAACGAAACTGAACCCAAGGAACCAGCGCAAGCGAATAAATCACCAGGTAAAAAGGAAGTTTCCGATAGCGAACTTGAGGAGAAGGACCTGCCAGTGCCAATAGTCACCAAACCTCCGGTGGATCGCACTCTCATCTGGCGCAAGAGGACGGTGGGCGAGGTATTCGACGCCGCATTGGCTCGCTACCAGGAACGCAAGCGAGCCCGACAGGGCTAAAACGCATCCAATTAAAGTTCGAGTAGATGGAAAAACAAACCACTGATTTCTGTATTGTCTCCTTATTATGCTAATTTCAATTTGTCCCATGCTCATACATTATTTATGTGTATGCCAACGCTCTTGGCGAAACCCTTTTCGGTGCAAATATTTTGCATAAGTTGCAACCGAGTTCCCCAGCCCGTCGTCTTCCACTTTTCATCTAAAACAGTGAGCAGAGGAAGAGAAAAAAAAAGAGAGAAATGGGTAAGAAGTACAAGGCATGACGGATGGAACCGCAGGAAAAGTGGGGGAAATGCACTGGAGGATGAGGAAGTGCCTGAAGGAGCAGAACGCGAAGATATTCCATTTATTTTGTATGACGACGACGACACGACGACAAGTAGAAGAGCCAAAAAAAGGAACTAGGACTAGCTTAGAGAAACGAATTCGCGAATACCCTTGCAGGTCAGTGATTTCTAGCTTTCAATTTGGTTAGTTTAATAGTTGGGATAGTGAAGTGGGCTATAAACTTGGTTTTCGAAATACCTTCATAATATACAGAACGCATACTTTCAATTTGTGCCTTGTGGCATCTCAAGAGATCTACTTAGTCTTACTGACATGTTAATCCCGATACAACTACATGACTTACCGATCGAAATCCGAAAAAAAGTCCATGCCACGTTGTAAATAAGAACCCGCGCTGGGCAAAAATTCATCCCTATTGATTTTATAGTCTCGGACAAATCCGCGTTGAGGCAGACAGCTTATGCAGAAATGACTTTTTAGGTTCACAAATATCTCGTTCACTGAGCCGGAAACTCCTAATCCAAGTTCTAATACCCTCTGCAAGGGTATAAAAACGGAAAGGCACCGAGAAACTTGCCAAACGCCCAAATAACAAAGAGCCAACTTGGCGTTAGTTTATTTTTTCGCTATCCTTTTTGTTTTTGCAACATTGTTGTTGCTTCATTTTGCCGCAAATGCTGGGAAATCCTTTTGGAAAATAGGTGTGCCCGCGCCATAAAAGCGAAAACCAATGGTGCACGAGGAGGAGGGCGAGGCGGGGGACGTCGCGAAGGACCCAACCGGGAAAGGAGGACGGAGGGCGGAGGGCGCGGGTAGCACGCCTGACATGGTTAGGATCAGTGATGGACAGTGTCTAGGCGGCAATAGGTACTTATTCAAAGTGCAAGAGTTTGAGACATAATAATGCGACCAGAAATTCTCGATCAGAAAAGGTCTGTTTGGTTATATTAAAACTAAAGAAGCCAATTTTCTAGATAATAATAATAATTTGATAATAATTTTAGCTAAACTAAATATAGTTATGTTAAAGAACAAGACAAAAACTGTTGAACAATATTCCAGTTCAATTAAAATGTATTAACTAATTAAAAGACCTTTGAGTTGGTCATTTATTGTCAATTAAACTATTCCATAAATAATAATTTCTAACATGAAACCATCTCTTTTGGCTTGCCCATTATAAAATATTTGAAAAACATCGATCCCATTGCCTATTTAAGTTAGTTGGAAACTTTTTCTTATCTTAAGTACCTAATACTTTGGTACCCTCATCATAACTTTTGGCTAGCCCATAATAAACCGTTCATATATTATATTTTTGATCTGTACTGAAGAGTTCTCAACTGGTAATTTAGTTTCTTTCTGACTTCTAATGTACCCGTAACCCAAATCGGTAGGTACCCTTATCACCCATCACTCTCGGCTTACCCACGAATATTTCTTTTTTGCCCGTACCTTGTACTTTTCCCATCATTGAAGTTAGATTCCGGCTCCGGGGTCCGGCGCATTGCAGAGATGGCAAACCGCAGTTTGCTCCCAATCCGCTCCACTCTGCTCCGCTCCGCTCCGTTTCGTTCCGTTCGGTTCCTCATCTCTGGCTATGGCGCTGGCTGCATTCCGTCATCTCGTACCACCGGAATACAGCCCGTAATATCCCCCGGAATTCCCCGCCTCTATTCCCACTAACCCCCTCTAACCCCCCCGCCTATTCCTCCATTCCCCACCATCGCCGGGATCCTATAGCATCTGCATCTGCATCTGCAGCCCGGACGGAATGTCAAGACGGATATGCCTCGCTTTTGATGTTGCCAACGTGCCTTCGTCCTTCGTCCTTCGTTGTTCATCCTTCGTCGTCAGCGAAATTAATACTGAAATCCATTTTCCATTTGGCAGTCAGCGACCCTCCGGCATTTCCATCTCGCTCGCACTCGGTGCTGGGGGATATTTGTCGGTCTCGCTCTTACCTGTTCGATTGTGTCATCAATCTCACATGTCCTTTGCTCCTTTGCTCGTTTGCTCCTTTCTGGCATTTTTGTTTATTGATGTGCACTGCTGCAATTGAGATTTGTGCCACATTTTAGGCAAATTAATTCGATACGAACTGGAATGGAAACGGAATGTTTCTTTCGACTTTCGATTCAGCACTCGTATTTCTTTCTCCCCTTCTTCTTCTTCTTCTTCTACTTCTACTTCCATTTCCCCTTTCCTTCTTCCCGTCTTCCCTCTCTCCTTTTGCCGTTTACCGTTCACCGTTTACCTTTTCTTTTTTTGTTATTTGTTATTGTCGCAGATCGAAGAGGGGTGCAGCTATATAGCCCCATCTCTGTCGGTTTTACGTGGCGCCGATCGAAATCGAATCGGTCGTTAGCTTAACGTTTCTAATTGAGTGCTCTCGAGTGCTGAGTGCGAAAGCAGTGCATTTGCAAGCAGCGGCTGCCTTAACCCTTTTGAGGTCTCGAGGGTCTCGAGCAGGACGCGACTCGCTAAAAGGATATTCCGCCCATGTGTCGTATGCAAAACCCCCTTACGTGCATTGTCTGATTAATGGCTTTAAGTCCGTGGAACAAGCGGCTACAGAATCAACACTTTCGCAGCCCTTTGACTCGGATTGACAAGGATGCACCAAAGGACACTGCTTGGCTGAATCCTTGTGTGATGGAATATTTCGCCTACTTAAATGCACGTGTTAAGCTGAGCAAACAAACACTTATAAGGATTTGATTACACAAAGATGAGGAGATGATGACCCAAAAAGGGAAACGTAATGAAAGTGTTTTTAATGAAAGTTGTTTTAATAAATACTGTTGTTTAGTTTTTTGTTGTTCAATGAATTTCGGAGAAACGAATATTTTTTGGAAAGAAAATACCTTCCTTGTTCAGGTTTTACTGAAAAGAAATTGTGAATAATGTTTCTTAAATAAATACCAACTCGTATCTAAGGAAATTAGATTTTCTCAAGTATGGGCAAGTACGAAATTCTGTTATTGTATTTGTCCTACACAATTTCATCCTCTTTACTTGCTCAAGTGTCCAAAAAGCCGGGTAACAAATACTTTTTCTATACCTTTTGTCAAAAGTTTGTCTCAAGGATGTGAACACAGAGCAATTTCTTGTTGAAGTGACAAACACTCCTTTCTTTTGGTTACCTTTCGCCGTAAACAAAATTATGTTTTTAAATTTGTTCGTGCTGAAGTTTTTAGTGGTCTCAAGTCTGTGTCTTCCAGTATTTTTTTTTTTGCTAGGACTCTTGAGATCAATAAAAGTTGTTATCTTTTTTATGCGAAAAGTGGTGCATAACTATGAGCGCAGTGCATATAAAAAGTTAAGCTATCCGAAAAGTTTTTTAGGTGATTTGGTGGAAGGGCTGGTTGGTTGCTTGGTTGGCTTTTTCCAACTGCTGCTGCTGCTGCTGCTGCTTGTGGGTTAACCCGCCAGCAAAATCCGCATCAGCACAAGAGAGAAGGCTGTTGAACAACAGGGATTATGTAACACTAATTCCATTAACCCCCTTTGTGTGGTCTGTCCTTCGCCACGCCACGCCTTTCAACCCCCATCCCCTCCCTCCCCTTTTAACCCCCTTCTCATTTTGGGGTGCGCCCAGCGACTTTGTGTTTGTGTGTGTGTGTGTGTGTGTGTGTGTTGTGCCTCTCGTTGCCTAATCAATTTACGATCATAATTACTTGGCTTTTGGTCTCGGTTTTGGGCTTTGGGTTGTTCGGCTTTTGGCTTTGGCATTTCGCTTTGGTCCTTGCCAAAAAGCCAGTGATTCAATCTGAGCATCCTGCAAAACCAGCCAGGCATCCTGCTAACCAGCCAGGCATCCTGCAGCCGTCCTGCACCAACCATTCTTCCAGCCTTCCAACAAAACATGCCACCATGCTGGTCTGCTTCTGCTGGTCTGCTGTTCTGCTGGCCTCGTCCTGCTGAAGAAGAGGTCCTGCTGCAGGCCAATAGGCCCAAAGTAAAGGCTTCAAGATTGTGATCATTCACGTGTGAATTCAATTATCAACATTTTCAATGGCCGTACCCGAATTCCGAGGCGGACACGGCCAGGAATCCGGAGTGCGGTCACCACACCCGGTGACCTCGCCACCGAAAGGCAGTTAGTCTTGGCCACGCTGCAGTTGCCCGGTCCAGGGACGTGGTCAAAAGGGGGGCTCACAAAATGGATGGAAGGATGGTGTCGGAAAAGAAGTCGTAAGAACCATGACAGCCAAAGGCACGAAGCTAAAATACCCACTAGTGTGGAGATGGAAGTGAAGTGGTATAAAGTAACATATATAGTATTATGTGTTTGGTTCTATTTTTTAAACTATTTAAAATATACATGTTCATTTTTTATTAGAAGAACACTTCAGCATAGCATTTAAGTAAAAAATGTAAATAATAATAATATATTTGTTAAATTTTAAGAATTAAAGATGTGCTGTTTTATACTTCCTTAAACATAAATTAAAAAAATGTTTACAATGGAGTTTTAATGTAAATGGTCTTAATGGTTTTAGTTTTTGTTTCATTAATAGATTATTATAATTGTTTTATAAAAGTAAATAGTAAATTAAAAGAAACTCTTAAACGTTAGTTTTACAAACCTCGGTTGCGTATACGTAATGTTTCATATTATGTTGATCTATAGGAAATCCAATTCTTAACTAACGCAAACTATAAAATAACTGTGCTTGTGCTAGCTCTTAATTTTCAATTTAAAACATATCATACCTACCAATCCGAAAAAGTTTGACCAAAAGTGTCCACCTGTGTATTTCGATCCATAAATTCCAATTAAAACACTTCTGCCAAAAGTTAAAGTGCCGTGCTGCATTTTTAAATAGACTTAGGGGACTTTAGGTCGCCAGGTGAGTTCCGATTTCTCGGCAACACGTGTTTCATTTTAATTGGCACAGAAACTCTTTTGACACCGAGCTGAAATTACTCATACGCCACGTATGCCACGGGTGAAATCTAGCCTACGCCATTTGGTATCAGGTAAAATGTGTGGCCAAAGACAACACTAATTAAGGATAATCAGCTTTTAAGCCATGTGTACGCATTAATTAAATGTAAACATGTTGGCGAAACACAAGAAGAGAACCACAAACAACAAAAAGATGTCTCATTGCACATTTTGTTGTTAAGCCACAAAAATTTTCAACACATCAGTTGGGCTTTAAAACCCGCAGCTTCTTAAAAAAAAAAAAAAAAATAAGAAGGGAAAACTAAATTTTCTTGGAAAAAAGGTTCGTAGGTAGGTTCGTAAAATAATGGAGTAAATTGCAGGAAGAGTGCACCTGTGCATTTTTTTTCCCTGAAACTACCAAATGAAAACTAAATTTTATGGCTGCGGATTTAAAATAAAAACTAAATGTATTGCCTATAAAATGTTGGAAAAACGTGCATAAAATCGCACGTAACGATATCGCATTGCACATTTTGTGTGTTCGGCCAATGGGAAATGGGAAAATGGGTTGGGGAAAAACAAAAAATACTGTTCATTGCGGCAGATTACGTAACGGGTCGCTTTTGCCTGTTTTTGACCGTCTCGTCTCTCTCTCCGGTTTTTGTATATGTTTCAGTCACGTTTTGGTATAATTCTCCAAATATGTATATACATTTCGCCGGCTTATATTAAATCGATATTTCATCCTACTTCCTGGTCGTCGGCGCCCCTCAAAAACTCCACCACTGTCGCACATTTGTGTGAGTGCTGGTGATTTATATTGTTTGGCCACATGTGTGTGCTCGAGTACGTGTGTGTGTGTGTTAGTCTGTGGTCGAGTGTGTATGTCTGTGTGTAAGTGTGTGTGTGAGTGTGGCGAAGTACAAGCCGCCGTGGCAAGACGCGCGAGGCGCATCCAAAAATTTCGTTTGCTGCAAGGGACAGAGTGTGTAATGAAAAATGTGTGGGGTATGACAGGAAAACGAGCGATGCAGAGGGACATTCGGGTTGCGGGTGGAGTGGGGGAAAAGGGGGGAGGGGGGGAGCAGGAGGTCCTCCGACCAGGATAAGGGAGAGGGAGAAGCCAGGGGGAGAGCGGGAAGCGGATGTGGGGCCTCGTAGGCTGGATGCCAACCGCGCTCATGACAAACAAAACGCATCACACACACCAACACACCGTGCAAAATGACAAGGCCAATTTGCATATCCTGTTGGATTCATAATTTACAAAAAAAAAAAAAAAAAAAATGCGGAGACATTTCTGACTTGGAGATTAGCTGCTTTTTAACTTTTCCGCCCAGATAGCAAACTTAAGAGGATACTTTCCTTATACTAGGATTAATTTATTCATTATTTTTAAATATATTTATAAAATATAA